AATGCATTAGTCACCTGGCAGGAAGGGCCAGCACACACACCAATGTCACTACAGCTTTCCACTGATTCACCACAGTATTGGGTTTGTCATCTGCTGTGAACGACTAGTATTAAGTGAGTGACAATGGCCCACTTGACATGTTGTCAGTGCACATACTGTTAGCACAATAACATGTTAATATGAATTTGATTTGATTCTACTAAGAAATGTTTTCCAATCGTGGCAGGTCATAAGTCAGGTTAGACTATTTTTGAAAATTAAATTAATTACTGAGCTTTCAATCCCTCATACACAGACAATAAAGGCACTTAGAGATATTATTCAGTGTGAGCACAAAACCAAACCAATGAATTTATCATTTTCATCGTAGCATTTATTTCCTTTGTTACTTTCATTGCTTAGTTCAATGCGTCGGTCTTTATATGACACATGCTCGCTCGCCGTGATGAGTTCTTTCACACAACAAAGGTCAGAGGCATCACTTACAGAAAGAGAAGGACCCCCACAAACACTCAGTTGCTCCTCTATCAATTATTGAGCCACAGTTGTCAGTTGAAAAGCCAGCCAGACTTTCCGTTGATCTGTTTGATGAATATTTCAGCTGACAAACCGGCCACCTGACACTCCTCACCAGAGCAATGTGTGGTTAGAGAGAGGTCACGCGTTCTGGCCACAGTCATGCACATGTGCATGCACATGTATATACAGTTACAGTGTAGCTGTTGTTGCTATTCTATTGTGAATGCTTTTAGTTACTGTTTGTTTACATTACTTTCCCCCCAGAACTCTCTGTGGTGGTATCTGTGTTGACTACAAACAAACAAAAATAACATGTTTTCTTTATGTGGACACTACACGTTGGAGGAAAATGCTACTATAGCCTGAACGATATAGGATTTTTCGGCCTGATACCAACATTTGCAAATATTTATTTACTTTTTCACACTCCCCTCGACTCTGCTTGAATCAGCTAGTTATTTTTTAGCATTCCCAAAAGGAAAGTTTCAATGTACAATGTACTCCGGTGGACTAACTATGCAAAGTAAACTTCATGCAATGTCAACACTTAACATGATGAAGGGTGTCATCTAGACTGGCAAACAGCTAATATTGGCCAATATTATCATCATTATCAGACGATATTCATCCATCCTCAAGTTCCTCTCTCAGCCCTTGGTATTTTTCCAGCTTTTTCTTGTTTTTTTCTTGCTAATTTTGCTATCACTTGGTATATCTGCATCTGATATGGCCGTCTGCCTCTGCTTGTCTACCACTACCACGTCAGGTTGTTCTTCCAGGCCATACTTGGCACAAATGTTCCTATGCCGGCCACTTGGTTATGGCATTCCATGTATGCCCTTCCTGCTAGCATCTTGCACCCTGCTGTTATATAGTGGATTGACTCAGGGGCATCTTTACACAGCCTGCCAGGTGTGATAGACCCCAGCCTCTATGGATCTTGTGCTGAGAGCTTGTTCTGCCATGATTTGTTCCTCTGTGTTGTCTTTCAGTCCAGCTTTGTCCAGCCACTGGTAGGACTTCTGGATGTCAGCCACGTCTTCTGTCTGCTGATCACACTGTACACACTGTGCAGGAGCCTGTCCTTCCATGATGCTTCTTCTCTTGCTCCTCTTCTACTGGCTCTGACACTCACTAGTCCCCGGCCACCTTTCTGCTTAGGGTACGGTCTCAGGGTGCTGGATTTTCGGTGAAACCCTCCATGCATGGTAAGGAGCTTCCTTGTCTTGACATTAGTGGCTTTTATCTCTTCCTTTGGCCAGCTTCTTATCCCATCGGGGTATCTGTGTTGATTGATCAGGTCTTGTTGTTTACATTCTGCTGATTTCTCAGGACTTGCCTTAATCTCTGCAGGTACTTGGTAGTTGCAGCTTTCCTAGCGGCCTCCTCGTAATTCCCAGATATTCGTAGCTGTCCTCAGTGTCCCCTCTGACTACCTTCCCTCTTTTTGTTACTTTCCGATCACACTTCTCCAGTCCAAACGACATTCCCATCCATATGGACTTTTATTTTAGACTTCACCAACCACTGCTTTATTATTCAATGCAGAACACAGATATCTCTTTGCTTGAAGGAAGATACTGATCACTGTAAATAAAATAACATTATAGGTAATCCATGCTGATATTTTATTTTGAGGTTTACTGAAGAACAGAGTAAAATAGTGATGGGTTTCCTGGTGAGTTTGCACAGGGAACACTCAGGATATTTTCATATAAAATTTTGGGACAATCAAATTCCTAGGATGAAACTGCCAGCTCACTACAAGAATGTTACATGAAAGGGAAACGATTCACCACTTTGAGCATTTTTAATTTAAAAAAAAAAAGTCATATTTTGCATTCAATATAATGATTTGACCACAGCATGAAAGAAAAGCCAAGAGAGCTTGGATGAACTAGTGATGTGTTATTTATGTGGGGCTCAGCTCAGATGCTACCTCACTAAAGGAGACATACCCCATAAATTTTTCTGTGGCCACTATGAGCAGGTCAGGAAGGCACCAATATTTCCTCTTTATTAGAAACAACAGAAACAACATACAGCCATAAAAGGGGCCCTCTGAGGTGAATCTGAAAGACTGGAAATGGCAAGAAAAGTATGCAGTTCGAGGAGCTGAAAGGTAGTCACACAACCCATTTCTCTCCAGTCAGTTCATACGCATCTTGGTGCATTTCCTCATAACTCTTCCACCAGTGACTCACAAAGTCCTCGTGCTTCATCACAGGTCAACTTGGAGATGAACTTTAAAGGAAGAGGTAACAAATGATCACAGCCTCTCGGGCAATTCATATCTGCTGAAGTGCCATAACCGTCTACGTATCCTGACCTCAATTTGGAGGCTGCGTGTTGTGAAGGCCCATCTGAGTGAGATGGTATCGATCTGAGCGGGGGCTCTGGCAGCATCAATAAACAACAGGCTTCAGGCTTCAAGGCTGAGGAGACACATCTCTATTTCAGCTGGAGGGTTTGCATCTGGATACCTGAGTTGGGACGTGGCCCTGGAACAGATGGTGAGACATGTTTTTCTTGCTGAGCTCACAGCTCACATTTGTGAGACCAAGCCAGTGATATTTAGCCCACCCTGCTGGATCTATGAAGGTAAATAAGGCCCCAAACTACAAGCTCACATTTTTTACTCTAAATAATTACGAATTAAGTTTAAGGGGCACATTAGATATAGAAAGATACCAAGTAGCAGCCAATATAGCAGAGAACGATCAATGCTTAACGGGTAGACAAATAGCATTTCAAGATCTTCTATATCAGCATTACAGCGAGAGACGACAGTGCTGACTTTGGCTCGTTAATCAATAAACACAACGAGCCGCCCAATATGTTTGACACGGACTAATGAAATAATAATCATCAAGAGGAAAAGAGGATGTGAACAAAGGCTGCATTTCTTAATAAACAGAAGAAAACAAAACTAAAGTGAAAGGAATTTGGCAGTCCTGCCAGGCAGTTTTGTTGCTGTCTTGTTTACTTGCTTTTCCCTCTTTGCTGAGAAAGTTAAATAAGTGTGCTTCATATATTTAGAGTCAAACTGAGCTCTCTTTGCGCAAAGCAGCTTGTCAATAGCAAGAAAAGAGGCATGGAGCGAAAGAGGAGGCCTGATAAAACGGCTTTTAATTACCAGACAGTGAATGTTGGCCTTCCTCGTCCACTTTCCCCTCCCAGCTAAGCCAGGAGTTTGATTTCTGATAATGCGGATTGCTGACTGGGCTTCATCCTAGTTGTCCCTAAAGCAGAAGGATCTAACGTCACGTCCTGGGAGAGCACGTCTGACAAAGTGCCATATAGATCCTCTGCTTTTCATCAGAAGTCAGTGCTGGTCGAGGCATTAATCCGAGTGCTTGATGGCCTTGCTTGTGTTTCCCCTTTTGTATCCAGTTGCAATTAGGCGGAGTAATAATTTCAAGCATTGCATGGAAATCAGTGGGTCTTTAACCTAATTGTTGGTACAGGTGTAAGATCAGGAAGGATCAATGCAATGAACTCGTAACATCCCTCTGGGAGTGTTTTTTAAAGGTTCAAGTACAGACAATTAAATAAATATATGGTAGATTCAGTGTTTTACATTTCCTTTTCTTTTTAAGTGAGATGGTAATCACTGATAGAGGAGTTCATCCTCAGGCCAATATGGGATGGAGACATTTTTTGTAAGAGCCAATGAAACCCAGCCTAGTGCAATGGCCGGCACAGCACACACACCACCACTGAAATTGTTTTCAACTGGCACATGTATTGTATAGCCAAATTTGAGCCATGGGGAGACAGAGCAGGCTTTAACAACTTCTTATCATTACACAGAACCCAGGTGAACAGACTTAGGTATCAGGTCTGTGGGTAGAGCAATGTAAATGAACAGGATAGAGACTTCACTTTACTCAGGGATCAATGTCTTTTTTCCATGAACTGCAATCAGAGCTGTTTATAGAGTGGACAGAGCAGCTGTTCACTCACAGGGCCGCGATCAACAGAGGTTTTAAGAGCCCTTTTGTTTTACACTCAATTATATGCTAATGGCGAGCGCAGAGTGGAAACCTTTAAATACTAATGCTGTTTTAATGTCAAGTGAAAGAGTGAAAAAAACCACTTTAAAAAACTGTGGTGGTTTTCATCTCAACAGCAGTACATTTCCGTGTAAGTGAGGGCCATTTACGAAACATTTACAGTTGTGATCTAAGGTCATGTTTTTAAAGGAATATTTATCCATAATACCTCAGAAATCTATTGTATTCTCAGTATTGTACTCAACTTATCAACCTTGATCTCAGATTAGTGTTATCTACAGCAAAAGCGGTAATAATTCCTTTTCAGTGCAGAAACAAAGACTTTTTAAACCGTATATATATTTCATTTTATAACATAGGAAAAAAACCCCAAAATAAGATCCATAAGAATAGCAGCGTTCTCTCAAACTTCGCCTATTAGAATTTGACAGATTGAGATAGTGCAAGTCTTTTATTTTGAAAAGGCAACGAGCGGATGTTGATTCGGAAGCGCTGTTGTAGCAGTTTCCTCAAAACTAGCTATACAGCTAAACACCTACGTTAGTACAGTGTAAACTTTGTCTCGTGGAGCAGTGGTGTACACGTTCACACTTCGGGATAAGCCTTTCATACGGTTATGACTTGACTGTGGTGTCGGCGGCGACCGACCTCAAAACCTTTTTGTTTTTTAAAAAAAAGCTCCGCATCACTTAAATCAAGAATCCGGACTGAGCAGGATGCTAGCATGTATCGTTAGCAAACTGCTGCAGGGAATTAGCTGGTTAGCTTCCACATCCAGTCAACTATTATGAGGCTGAAGCTTCCCTCTTATTGCTCTCACTTAGGTTAAATACTGACAGCGCAATGAACACCGAGGCGATAGTGATCCGAATAAAAACGCCGACAGGAGACATGGACTCGTCCGTGGACTGTCCGTCTCTTCTGAACTTCAATGACTTGCTCGTGAGTCTGCCTCATGCCAACTATCACTTGTCACTCACAGACACACTGCACAAGTCAAAAACACACGGACTGTTTCTGACTCAGCGTGTCGTAACCCTGCCTCATTAATATTTGTCAGTCTAATAACCATCCTTAGCTGTCTGGTCCTAATTCACCCTGTCAAACATTACAGGTCGCAATCAGAGATGTCATGCCTGAAGCCACTGTCACGGCCTTTGAATGTAAGTACCTGCTTTAGAGTTAGACTGCTGTAATGCTGCAAGAGGAAATTGGAAGCTTTGAATGACTGTGTTTACACACCAAAACAATAGCACTGTAATGTAGGGACTTGTAATCACTTATCAGATTGGTCTGAAGGAGAGGAGATCTCATGCAGCTGTGTGGGACACTTGTTTATCCCGTCATAAACAGTAAGAACCGATCCCTGTTGTCATGGGCTAGACTCTAGCCCTCTTGAACGGGATTCATGTATCTGAGAGAGTAAAAAGCTTCACACATTTTCATTGTGTTAGCTTCTCTCTTCTCTGTTCCCTTTTTTTTACTACTCGTGTTAACCTCTAGCATGCGTTTTATCCTGACATGCCATAGCTACTGTACTAACTGATTGATTGACAGGAACAGTTGAAGTTTCTCTCATTCAATCAAATTAAGATTTAGCCTCTTGGTATAGGCACCATTCAAGCCTGTTTACGGGTAGAATGCAAAGAGTTTGATTGACATACAAACATAAATACTGCTTACTGAGTGCTTTTATACGTTATATTTTATTGTATGATTTTGATTGTATGTTTTGGCTCCCCAAATTTTGCTATTGCATTAATACTTAATATGGAATGATATGCTTTTTTGTGTGCATGCCTTGATTTTATTAAATGTTTATTATACGTAAAAGTGTTGTTTTACAGTATCTTCTGTTTATATTTATTATACCACACTTGTTACTGCAAAAAAAATCTGTTTTGAATTTTCTCTGTGATTTCCCCCCATCCCCATTATTAGTATTTTATTTTTTACAGTTGTACTGTTTTTGTGTTGTTTTTTTTGTTTTTTGTTTTTTTTAGACGAAGATGAGGTGGGAGACAGAATCACAGTAAGAAGTGATGAAGAACTCAAAGCCATGTTGTCATATGTGAGTACATAAATGTTGCATGCAGTACTTTGACCAAGTCAGGCATAATATCCACAAATTAGAATACTGTGCGAAAGTCTTGAGCGACCCTTGCTTCCTCTTTATATTTTGTTTCGAACAAGCTGGACTTTGTAAGTCTTTAAAGTGCTCTTGAGCATAATTCTCTAGGCTATCTGAAGGTCAGGATATTGGCTGATTTTTTTTTTTTTTAACTAGTTTTCAGTTCAGTCCTCCTACCTGACCATTTTCAGAGGACTGATGTTTGTTGTTTTGAGCTATTAGTCAAAAATCACATATCTCAGCAAGGTGTGTCAAGAAATCTGAAGAAACTAAACAAGTGGAGAACAAAAGAAGATGTGGTAGGCCTAAAAGTATTATTTACAGTAGATGAAAAGATGAAAAGTACCTGAAAGTCCACAGAAAGGCATTAAGGCATGGGAAAGCAAGGGTCAGATTAACATGAAGAAAGGTAAAGCAAAAAAGAGACAGAGAATTTTTTTTAAAAGGGTGGGAAAAAAGACACAAAGGACAATAGGTCACCAACTGCTGCATCTGTAACAAAACGCATTCAGCAAATAAAAAGCACCTGATAGAGGATAGATACGCAAACGTACAGTCTTTCTGTGTGTATGAGTAATAACACTCATACACACAGAGTGTGATTGTGTGGTTTTCATGAAAGTTACTTGATTATGAGTTTGAGAAACAACAACAACAGCCACTGGTAGCCAGAGGTGACAACCTAAATTACACAAGAAATGGACTGAAAATATGTGGCAACAGGTCTTATGGAGTGATGAAGCTAAATTTGTTTAAAGTTTGTTGAGTTTAGGTTAAAGGTAGAACAGTGAGTGTCTACAGCTATCTGTTAAACACTGTGAAGGCTCCGTCATGGTTTGGGGCTGCAGTTAAGCCTGTGGTGTTGGAGGTCTTGTCAAAGCTGATGGATTCTGAGTGCAGAAAAGTGTGGCCAGACTTTGATACACCATGCAATCCCATCTGGAAAGTGTGTGCCTGGCAACAGCTTTATTATTCAGCATGACAATGATCCTAAACACACTGCCACTGCGCAGAAAAACACACAATTGAACACAGTCAGTCATGGATTGGCCTCCCCAGAGCCCAGACGTCAATATTTTCGAAACAGTGTGACAGAGAACAGAACAAAAGGCAGCCAACATCCAAAGAAGAGCTCTGAATGTCCTTCAAGAAGCCTGGAGAAATATTCCTAAAGTCTATTTACGCAAATTAAAAGAAAGATTGTCTAGGACAGGGGTTGGCAACCTGCGGCTCCGTGTGGTTTGTGAAAATAAATTAGTTTTTGTAAGTAATTAGCTGAAGTGTATTTTATTTATTTTAGTTCTTTTTTAACTTGTAGTTCTAAATTGGAAGATTATTGTGACATATAAATATAAATGTATTTATATAAATTATATTCTATTATTTTTTGATCGCTCAAAATAAGCGTCACACTTGCGGAAGCCGGTATACCCGCCGAAACGCCATGCATTTATCGAGACTTTCAACCCCAGGTAGGCCAATTATGGACCTTCGGATCCACATTATGTCAGCAGCTATTCTCCACCATGAACTATGTTAAAAACAAACACCGCTCACGCCTCACAGATGACAGCTTACAGTCCTGCGTAAAGGTGAAAGTGACTTCGTACAGCCCCGATTTGCAGACGCTGTGCGCAGAGGTTCAGGAGCAGAAGTCCCATTGTAAACATATCACGGCAGACCCGACGATGTTTCCATGAACACGCATCTCTTTATTGACCACTTTTCACACACGGTTGCTGTACGCATACAGCCGGCTGTAGCTTTTCAGCTCACAGCCCGACACACCAACACAACAGCACAGATAGCACAGACGTTAAGGCAGCGAGGCGCGATTGCGGGTGCCGCTCAGGTGCGTCCGCCTCCCCTGCAGCGGCGCTGCAGACCACGCCCCGCCACACACATTAACCAGGTAAAATACATATTTAGGCAGAATTTTGCAAATATCTATTTTTCATTTTTCAGCAGCATAGTGCTTTTTTTTCCAATCATTTTTTTTTAAAAGTCAGGTCAAGGCTCCAAAAGCCCAAAGGTGATTTAAGGGCGGCGGCTCACAACAGTTTTTCTTTGCTACATGGGTCATTTTAGTTCAGCTGGGTGTCTTTCCTTTTGTTATATTTCTTTAAGAGTTCAAAATGTGTTAATTACATAAATAAAATGTAATTTTCTCTGTAGCACTTCATGGATTTAAGCAACACCTTAGTTGTTTACACAAAGCATAAAGGTAAAAAAAAAACAATATATACAGTGTTATCTTCATTTTAGATGTCAAAAAGTACTTGCGGCTCCAGTGTTTTTCTTTTGCATGGAAATTGCGTCAAAATGTCTTTTTGGGTGTTAAAGGTTGCTGACCCCTGGTGTAAGAGAATTCACACTGTTTAAGAATAAATATGGTCACACCAAATATTGAATTTCAGACTTGTTAGAATTATACAAGCTCTATACATATGCTGTATTTCTAAGTATGTCTGCACATGTGTCAATAAATCACTGCACCTATTTCCTAATTTCCTAGCAAAATATAAAGAAATGAGGGGTTGATCAAGACTTTTGCACAGCACTGTACATGCCAGGGTTATGTTTTCCAGTTATGCTGCTGTATTGTAGCATTCTTACTGTGTGCCAATTCCTCATTGGAAAGTAGTTCTGACAGAAACTGTTCACATTCAATCCTTTGTGCAGTTTAGATGACATGGCCAAGAGCATGTCTGAACTACATTTGAGCATTTTGAAAGGTCCTCCTCCTTTATGTGTTCTGCACTATTTTGGTTAATTTTTTTTGTGCAGCTTTTTAGAGCCATTTAAGTGTCTGGGGTTTTGTATATTGTATCGTTTGGAAAGCTTTTGAGGCACGTCAAATTGACATGACACAGTAACAAGGACGTTGTTCAGATTTTCTGTATTTTTTAAGTGCTTTGCTCAGCGCCATAATAAAGCCACTCACCTCTCTTTTTATTAAGCAAAACCTTAGACCCAGTCAATCCTCAACAATCCTGAACTCTCAGTTTGAGTGTTTACCTTTCTAGCTCGCATGGACTTAAGGTGTAAATAAGTCATTTTAAGAATGGTTTGAAAAAACCTTTAGTATTAAATATGCTACACCAAAGTTTTTAATGTTAAATTAAAAGGCGTTCTTCGATAGCCACCAAAACCATGGTTGAATTCAAAATGACCTCATCAATCTGGTGAGTTACATCAAATACTATAAAATACTTGGCCTAGAACGAGAAGCACAATTTTTCAGGTAGCAAAACATGAGACGGCAAGATGCTGATTTGATGGCAATCTCCACTGACGTAGTTATTTATAATATAACATGAAGAAATTGAAGCCATAGAGCCTCATCTAGTAGCAGTTAACCTATGGCAATATTCAGCAGCACACATGCAGACACGTCCCACATCCCCTTCAGCTCCCTCAAATACTGCAGTATATTTTCATATTCGACCATACTTACTGTTCATGCCGCGGACAGTAAGAGTAATGGCGTGTAATGGGTTTTCTGTATGAAGTACACTGTAAACTAAATGAACTGTCAATTTTTATTATTTATTATTCAGTACTTAAAGTTTTGCCTCATTAAAGAGCAGCCCCCCTGGGCTGCAGAGTTGTTCAAAATCTACTTTCATCTGTGGATGTCTTTTACCCCCCATCAGCTCACAATGATGCTACTAGAGCCACAGGCACAATTTACACTCCCTGCTTTTTTTTTTTGTCCATTTTTGTCATGCATTCACTTGTGGTTGCTTTTTAATCATTAAGTAGCATAGGGTAGCAGGGTGATTAAGCAAAAAGAGACAGATGTTGTGCCAAGAAGTGTTGTTAAACAGACGTGGAAAAGGCTTTGACCTAAGCAAGTTTTGTTTTCCACAGATCCAGCGGATGTTGTTCTGTGCACTGTCCTGTTAAAGCTGGAGTAATGGTTGAGAAAGGGGCAGTGTTTACAGTGGGACAAATTATGATTTGATCTCCTGCTGAATTTGTACGTTTGCTCACTTACAGTGAAATCAACAGTCTCTAATTTTTATGGCAGTTTAATTTTAATGGAGAGAGACCAAAATTCAACCAAAATCCAGAAAAACAAATCCTGTTGCATAAAACTTCTAAACTGATTTGCATGTCATTGAATGAAAAAACCATTTGATCTCCAAGCAAAGCAGGACTTAGTACTTGGTAGAAAAACCCTTGTTGGAGAGTAGAGCAGTAAGAGGTTTCTTGTAGCTGGTCTTCAGGTTTGCACACATCTCAGGAGGGACTTTTGCCCACTCCTCTTTACAGAAACTCTCTAAATCCTGTAGGTTTCTTGGCTGCCTCCTGGCAACTCAAAACTTCAGCTCGCTCCACAGATTTTCTGTAGGACTGAGGTGTGAAGATTGACGAGGTCACTCCATGACCATAATGTGCTTCTTCTTTAGCCACTCATGTGTTGCCTTGGTGGTCATCGTCATGCTGGAAGACCCATCCAGCACCCACTACCCATCTTCAGTTTTCAGTGAAGTAGATTCTCGTCCAGGAGTTTAAGGGTGCATGGCCCCGTCCGTTGTCATCTTGATGCGATGAAGTTGTCTTTTACCCTTAACAAAAAAACAGCCCCAAGACATAATGTTTCCACCTTCGTGCTTGACATTGGGGATGTCGTTCTTTGGGTCATACCCAACATTTCTCTTTCTTCAGACACGGTAGGTCGATGCCAAAGAGCTCAATTTTGGTTTCCACAAAATTCCACAGCAGCTTCAGACTTCCATGATGCTGACCAACGTTGACTTGATGGTCATTTTATATTTCTTTCATTATATGTCTGTGTGTGCACACAACCAGTCTGTAGGAGGTGTAATTCTGGCTGGGTTGAAGGGGATTAAATACTTTTTTGTAATAATTCTGTCTTGCTCCATTAAAACCACGAACTTGCATTAACATTAGAGACTCTTAATTTCTATGTAAATGTTGGTTGTTTCTATTTTGATGTCAGCCCAAGAAGTCATATGTCTGTGATTTCAACAAAAAAGAAAAGTTGTCATTTATCATGGGCTAAATGTTTAGTTGTATGTTACATGGAAAATATCGCAATTAATTACAGAACCGTGCAGACTTGTTTTACTTGTTAGATAAAATTAGGCCGACACTGTGGTTTGTTTTTATTGCATTTTTATTTGTCTGAAAAAATGCATGTCCAAAAACCTTGAGTTCCTTGTAATTTGTTGCAGATGAAATGAAAATGTCTTTTATTTTGAGCAAAAATTGATATTTTCTTAAAGAAACATTGAAACGTGTATTGTTTTTGCTGGCAGTTACACTTTTTGTCTTTATTCTGACATGCCTTAGGTGTATATAAATTTATGACTGACCCCTGCCTCTTTCTACAGCGCCCAATAGAAATATTAAGTATCCACAACAGTGCACAGCTTTTCCCACAGATTTCAGACCCCATTTGTTCAGTGAATTTTTGGCAAACAAATCTTGGAGCCTCATAATGGCTTTCTACTCATGGGACTGCCAGCTGTACAAAAAGCTGCTGATCACCTGGAAATACTGGGCTCACTAGACTATAATTTACGCTAGCCGTGTACTTTGAATGTTTTATGCAAGTGTTATGCATTTCAGCTCTGGATTGCATTTGTATTTAGGGTTTTTTTTCCCCTGTTGTTTGCTGCCTTTTGGCCTCCGTGGAGACTAGTGGCTTTTTGCTTGAGTGTTATTAATTCCAGGTGAGCAGACAGCCATTATATGAAATTAATAGGAATTAAGGGAAGCAGCATGATAGGTGAAATGTGGGATAATTCAGTTTCTTCACGGTTGCTTTGTGTGTGTCTGTGTGTGTGTGCGTTTGGGAGGGTGTGTATATTTTTATTAGGAAATGTATAATCAGGCTTTTAAATACGCTGTCAGTGCACAATGTTTGCTTTCTTTCTTTCTTCTTTTTTTTTTTGTCTTGTTCAAGATCTTTGCTTTAACATTGCCCTGCGAAAAATTCACGCTCGTGATTACTGAGCAAAATTAATGCTCAAATTCAGCACTTAATTAACATCAGTCTACAGAGGGCATTTATTGTGAGAAGTATCCCCCAGCACTAAGAACATTGATTGCTACATGCTCCTGCGAGACCCGCTAGACTTCCAGGCATTTCTAATCATTGTTCGACACCTTGAAAGACAGACGCCCCCTGTTCAAAGTTAAAGACCAGCCTATGTCAGGTGCTTAAAAAAAACAAAAAAACATGTGACCTCATCCCTTCCTCACTCAGCTCCCCCTGGAGGTAGTGGCGCTAATTCCACCATTCCCATTTGCTCTTGGTCTGCTAATGATGATGAGACTCACACTTTCTCTCTCTTGCACTCTGGCTTGTCCCTTAAGGCTGAGCGATGGTATTTGGGATCGGACACTGTTTAGTTATTGGCCAACAATGGAGAATGTCTTTTAATAACACACCTACTACAGATTAGGTGGTAATTGCAGCCTTAATCAATAAGCTAGCTGAGCGGAAAATTAAAGCGTACGTGAAAAAGCCCGAAACACCCCCCCTCCCCCCCCCGCCCCCCCCCCCCCCCCCCCCCCCCCCCCCCCCCCCCCCCCCCCCCCAAACACACACACAAACACACACACACACCATGTTTTTTTTGCTATTAAGACCCATTGTTCAGATGCGGCCTATTGAGAATGCTGGAGGGCGAAAGCAGAGGGCTAGGAGCGAGGAGGGGATCTGACAGTGATAAATAGGCCTTTTAATAACAGCTGTGCCACATGGGTAGCCATTCTGATCCATTCCAATCCAAGCCGTGCCCATCGTCCTCCCTCCTGCCTCCTCAGTGAAAGAGCATTTACATTTTGCTGCGATCACTCAGTACTAGTTTGTAAATGAATTACAATAAACTTGTGTATGTGTGCACAATATAAAGACATCGTCTCAAACTCAACCCCTGCAAAAGCAGAAGACATCAACAAAACGCACATAAGTAAACACACACACACACACTCTCTCTCTCCCATGCTCACACACACTTGCGGTTTAACAGATGGTTTGGTTAACTGAAACATCAATTATTGCATTGCCTTGGCAAGCAACCGAGAGGCTCCAGAGTGCGTGCATGCACGTGTTAGTCCTGTAGGATATGAGTGTTTGGTGAGCTGTTGACCTGGAGGAGAAAAGGGTTAATGCTACACTCCTTCAGAACAAGCCCACAGGGCATTGGTCCTCATCTGCAACAGATTTCCGCACAGCATGCTCACGTTTTTTACAAAAGACTGTGGATTAATTCTGGTGGCAGTTAAATAAACATTTTGTGTGTGTGTAATACTCTAAAATTAGGCCATGTAGTGTAGGGTCAGATCTTCAAATTTAAGGTTTTTCTACCTCTGTCGTGTGCTGATAACATTCTTGTACAGATATTATCTGTGAACTTAAATGCATGTAAAGTCATTTAAATTTAGTGTCACACTCGACTGTTTGTCATTTGCTTTTCCCCTTTTAGTACTGCAACACAATGAATGAACAACGCATAAATGGACTGCTGCCGGACCCTCTGCAGATTTTTCCAAGAGGTACAAAAGTGAGATGTTCCATTTTTATCACGGGCTAGGCGATGCTAACGGCTGCTTTGTAATTAACGTGGTGACAATTAATCACCAGCACCATTTAAATATATAAAAATATTCACACTTTATTTGTAAACGCCTATTTTACTAAAATTAGTGTACATGACCTGCGCTGTTTTCACAAAAATGTGAGCATTTGGTGAGTAGGCGTAACAGTGGAGCCTCTGGATAACATTAAAATTCAGCGGCTGGCTTTGTTGTTGGATGTCATTCATAAATCTACATTTCTTTTGCTCCAAGGGCATTCAAAGTGCATGCTTGTGTTCAGCTCAGGCTAAGCCTTGCCTGCATCTCTGGCATTGTGCAGTTTCTGTTCCTAAACTGGTTTTCATAATGAGGGCCTTTTCATAACATAGTTTTGCTATATTTTCAGCTAGTTTTCACAACGCTCAAAGACATACATAATCTCTAACAGGCCCTAGGGGAGATGTGATGAAACATTTTATTGTCTCCCTTTAGCTCTCTGGCTCACTCTGTTTCTCTCTCTATCTGCCCCTCTTTCCTCTAACGCTGTGATTGTTTTCTTTCTACCTAACTACCAACCAACCATCTCAAGAGACCAACAGCTCAATCACTCTCTTGTCCACAACTAATTTTTTAGTAACTCTCATTTCATCATTTTTTTCCTTCATGAAGAACTGATTCCTTTTCACCACATTTGTAAATGGCCCAGTGATGTGTTCTACAATCTAGTCAATTACTGTTTCAGCCGGCAAGACTCCAGGGATCCGGAACATACATGGCCTGAAGGTACCTATCTCAATAATTGTTTCGGCTGCCTTACACAGAGAATGAGGGGAGGGGAGGGTGAGAAGTTGAGTCAAATGGATTGATAATGCTGTGTTCCACTTATTGAAATGTCAATTGAAGTCAAGGCTCTCCTTCTCTTTCACTCATTGTCTTGCTCCCCTCGACTATGTTTATGCATTAGCATATCTGGCTGCGGCTGTAGCAGGGCCTGTCTCTCTGCTTTTCCATCCGTCTCTCTGTATTCTTGATTCTCATGCTGCGATAGTCATTTAAGAACAAGGTGTTATCTCCCCTCCAGAGTATTATGATCCTCTCATTCCCTATGATAGAAAGAGTGTCAGCGTTGGTTAGAGAAAAAACTAAATCGGGCAATAAGAAGATGTCATTGTTCAACCATGAAATTGTCATTACAAGCCCCCAAATGGCCTCTCGCAGACCTTCCCATTTTATGTTAGGCATATGTTGCTATTGAAACTCACTGCTAATTACCATGGGTTAAATGACTTGACACCTCCTCCATCTCTCCAGATGATCCATATTATATCCATCTGCATTTCAATGATAAAATCCCCCACCCCCCCACCCACCCACACACACACACACTCACAAATAATACTTTATGTATCCTATGAGGAGCTTTGAGAAGTGCTACTGAACCGAGTCAGTTTTTTGTTTTTTTTTAAAGGTCAAGAGTCTGTTTTGAGAATACGATGTTCTTTCCAGAAAACCTTTAGTCTTTTGCTAATCTTTCCCTGCTTTTCTCCTGCTTTAATACAAAAGTAATTGGCCGAGGGAAGCCCTGTGTGCCTTTTTAAATGAGGTTTTCTTGGGCACTAATTAAAGAGACATTCCCTGTGCTTTAGTGGACCCAACGCATTGGCCTTTTGATCTCAATTAATATGCTATTTTTAGTATCTCCTTTAAAGGGTCTTGTCTCTCCTTTTGTGTTCATATCTAGGTTGAGCCTGGAGGTCTTTGGAGTAAACATAGATGCAGATGAATAGATGTAAAGAAAAAGTCTCCCACGAGGCACGAAAATGGGAATGTCTTAAGTTTTCGTCTGGACTCTCCCAGCTGATTTTTGCTGTCTTTCTTCCTGTGCTTTTATGCAAATAAAAATTTTCTTCTTCTTCATTTGGCTCTTTTTTTTTTTTTTAAACAGTCAATTGACTTCACAAGCTGAAACGAGAGGCTTGTGTTTTATTGTCCATGTGACCGTGTGCTGTTTTTTTTGTGTGTGTGTGTGTTTTTACATTCTTATGCCTGTCTTTGCACACCTTCAGGTTAATACAAGGCCTAATCCAGCAAATGACTGCAGTCACGCTGTCCCAGACTCTATAGCTAACAACAGGTGAGCTTTCTGGGGCACAAGGATCATGTTGCACTACCTGGAATAAACAACTAAACCTCTGGTTGGTAAATGTGGTGAAGTCTGATATACTGTTTTCTGTCCTCCAGCTTAAAAAAGTCATCTGCAGAGCTGAAGAGGATCTTGACAAATGGCCAGGTTAGTGTGTGCTTTGGGGTTTCTGTACGATTCCAGCCTGTAATCTTACTGCTGTTGCTCTGAGACCTACTGAGGGGCTGTGGGCATGTCATACAGGGTGTGTATTTGGATGTTGTCTCGTCACGCTGACTGCACCCAATATATAGACTTGCTCTCTCCTTTCTCACTCACACGCACTCTGACTCTGTAACTAGTGTATGCATTCAGACACAGTGGCTATCATGTAGGAAGAAAATTAGACATACAGCCTTCCTGGTTTCTGCCTGATTGTTGGGGTTTCACTGTATTACTGTGGGGTCTTTATCTTAAAATATACAGTGCCTTGAGGTGACAGTTGTTGTGATTTGGCACTGCATGAATAAAATTGGAATTGAAACCATCATTTCTCTTTACCTCCATCTTCTCACCTTGCTATCACATTAGTTGTGGTTAAATTAGGGAGGGTCCATTATCACGTGTTGTGTGCAGGCATGTTTACATGCTTACTGCACAGCCTGACCCTTATCAGTACTCATCCACAGTCTAAATATCAAAATAGGAACTTTTTAAACGAATGTATTGTTAGTCTGCAGCCTCAGTGAACATCACACACACTGAGGTCATGTTGAACGGAGGCAATAATTAGAAATTAAAAATATTCACTTTATTTTGTTAATTAAAAAATTATACACGCAAATAAAAGTACTTTTAAAAAATAATGACAAATACAAAAATGTATTTTTGGCACAAATCTTAAGTTGTGTAGTTACCAAAACGTGTAGTGGATTTATTTTGCTTTTATATTTTTATTTTGCATTATTAAGGGACATATTTTAATATTGAATAGTGATGTTTTGAGTAATTTTCACCCTAAAATCTTAGCCCAGGACAAACGTTACATAATGAACTGTAAAATGTATTTATGAATTGAATACATGATGGCTGTCTTACATAAAAGTATGCTGATATTATACAAAACAACAACATACAACTCTTACTTGTTTTTTCTTGGATTTTATTCTGCCTTCTTCAATGCTTAGTTATTTATATTTACATAAGCTTTGCCTCAATCAATTATTTCATCGTCCTGGTTGGAAAAATCTACAAAATGTACAAGAGGAGGGAGCTACATGATCACACCCTGACTTAAAAAAAAAAATAAATTATGAAATGATTGAAAACAAATCATCATTAAATCCTACAACATTCAGCGTCCCACTCGCCCAAACACAGTGTTGTTTCTTTGTTTTAAATTGGACAGCAAAACCTTGTATTGATCTCTTCTCCTCCTTCTCTTATTTTGTTTTTCACTCCTTACGTCGCTGAACTTGGACTGACCTGAATTCTTGTCTTGTTTATAGCCTTCAATTACAGTGCAGTCCCATCTCCCTCACATGCTCACATCTCTGTCTCTCTGCCAGTTTAGTTACACATGTAATTCAGCGGTTGTATTGCTTCTCATGTTATAACATCCACTTACAATCAGTGTAATCCTGGGTGTGTTTCCTTCTCTGCAGATAAATGCCCAAGATATCCACTATCAGGAGCAACTTGGCCATGGAAATGGAGGCACAGTTTACAAGTAAGTGTTTGTTGGCTCTCACGATGAGGCACCAGCATTGCAAGGCCAAAGCACTGTAATGGATAGTGACACTGAAGAGATTATGGTGCATTCAGTAAGCCTGAAAAAACTGTACCTGGCAGATATTCAACAAGAGTGGCTACTTTTAGATTGAGTGTGACTTCTATCATTTTTCTGTCCACTTTTTCTAACAAAATAGGACTCAAAACTGCATTTTGTGTGAAGGGTTTTCACTCCTCACAGCACTCTTTCTGTTCAATTGTGTCTCCATCTATCACTCACTGTTTGGTGGGGCATCTGTCAGGCTGATTTTCATCTGTACCTTCATTTTTTTTTTTTTATTCTGGGTTGAAGGTTGCAAACATATATGATATCGATTTGGGGCTGTAAGGTATGACAGCCATTGACTTAATTGGCCTATAGTAAAGCACATAACCTACCACCAAGAAGACTTCCATCCTTTCTGGCTAGACAAATGTATGACTGACCTGATAACGTTGTGACAAGGTTGGCATTTGTGTCGCTCCTTCTATCTTTCTTTCCCCTACCTTGTGCTTTCTCTTTCCCATCAATCCTCAGCTATTGAGCTGTTTTATTGAGATTGAAGTATTGATCACTGCTCAGACTAACCTTGGCTTGACGGAGTGCTCTGCTTCTGATAGTCCAACAAATCCAAACGTCTATCTTTTTTATTTCTTCATCCTTTTCTTTCCAAACACCTTTTACTCTTTTATGATTTTTCTGAGGTCTTTTTTTAATATATATATTTATAAAGCTGCAGTTTCTTATAGTTGTCATAGAATAAGATTGTTCATCAGTTTGGCACCAGAAGTGGTTACACTGCACAGGGGAAGGCCAATACTGCAAACCCAACAACTTTTCAGTCAATTTAGCCCAGCAAAAAATCTATATGCAATGCTGCTGAACTTTCTAAGGTTGAAAGGAGACGATTTTGAAAAAACAAAACAAGTAATTTTTGCTATTTGTGTTCTATTTATGTGTTTATCTAATTTTAATTTGGCTTTTATTAGTATTTAATGAACATGCTTTAATTATTTGACAGATACTTTTGCAGGTCAGAATCATTTAGACAAGCAAAGGAAACCAAGTGTACTGAAAAATGTGCATGTTGACCGCTCACTCTCATGCCATCTTTACTATGTGTGATGCTAATTCCATTTAGCAAATTTTGTGACATAGAAATGAGGCGATGCTGTGCCCTCTTCAGGACCTGCTGTTCATTCCAGCTTATATTGGGCCTATCACTTGTGAAGAGCACTACGATAAGCTCCCCACCTTTTAACCTCTTAGCCCATTTATGACCTAGAGCCATTTAGACTCAATTGGATGTTACCAACATCTCAGCTCTCCATAGCCACATGCTGACCTAACCATCCATCAATGTCAGCCTTTGTTTTTTATTACACACTCTTTCAGAGGTCCATCTTGTCCGCCACTCCTACTGACTCTACGTCTTATAAATACAATAACAAGGACACACAGGCTGTACTTGTGACTCGTGGCGGTGCAATTAAAAGAAGCACATTTGCCTGGCTGTGGTGACATCTACTTAGACATCCACGGCTGCTCCTTTAGTGTCTCAGCCCATTTTCTCCATTGATTTTATTTTTCCTTCATATTGATCATTGCGTTTCAAATGGCTGTGCTTGACTGGTTGATTGCTCTTAGATTTTCTAGTTGTCTGAAGAACCAGAGGCATTGTGTTTCCATATATCTGTCTTTTTTTTTTTTTTTCAATTTTTTGTTTCCTTTATTAAATTTGGTCCAATATATGAATTTGTGCAGTGATGGGTAAGAACTAGAGCCTTAACAGGTATACATTTTGGGGATGGATAACTTCACCCATAAATGCTCAAGCCTTCTCTGAGTGAAACTGTTTCCAGCTATGCTGCAGTGTTTGGCGTGATACATGGATGTCCCACTCTAAACACTTGATCTGCATTTTTACCAAACTGGAGAACAGTGTTGGTCAAGTAAAGCTATTTAAACCTATTTGCTGCATATTCCAGCATATAAAATAAAAGGCGGAGGTTTGCCCTGGTGCAGGTGTGTCGCAGCGGACAGTGGAAGGATCCAGCAGTTTCTCTGTGAATTTCACATTTCCGTGGCAGCGTACTCGGTGCTTTCTCGGACGTTTAGGGGGTTTTTCGTTGTAAAAAGAAGTTTTCTTCCCACACAGTGAGCAGCGGACGCTAATGTTTTTGTCACTTTTTACGGAATCAAACTCAAAGTAAGGTCAGTATTTCCTCGCTTTAAACGCTGCACGGTCATATGCTCTCCCGTACTCGTTATATTATCCATTGTTGATCTGTTGCCACGAACGTCGCACTCGCTTACGTCACTGTCACGAGACACTCTTGCAAAAAAAAATCACGGTTTTAGTAACGCCCTAACGCAGCGTGCTTACGGGAAAGTAACTATAATCGAATTGCCTTTTTTTGCAATAGTAATCTCTTACTTTACTCGTTACTTGAAAAAAGTAATTGGATTACGCGTTACTGCCCATCTCTGCTTGAGAATAAATAGCACCTTTTGTACCAATCTTAATGTTGAGGATGTTGATCCAAAGACCAAATGGCAGTATCCATTGGAGGAGTCAACAGTGGTTCATAAAGTGTGCTCAACACTCTTTTTAAGCATTCAAGGTGAGGATCAGACTGTTGGTCGTGCTATAACTTCCTGAATCATCTAAATCGGATAATTTACTGCCTGCAATCATACCCGGACCTACTGCACATTAAAAACACAGGCGTACTTTTTGACTATACCAATACATTTCTCACTCATCGCCTAACCTTCCTTCAGGTTTAGCTTCCTATCATCACATCCTCTGTCCTAAAATCAAATTCAACTTGATGGGTTACCTGCGTGCTTTGTGCATGTGCTCAGCCCAGGACTTCTATGGGGCAATGTACAAGGCTGATTTTGAAGTGGTGAATATAATTTAGATGAGTTATGGTTTTTGATATTTGTATATGAAGACCTGTTAAGCTAACTTGGGTCTCATTAATGCACATCTATATCTGTTTCATCCACAAGAGGCCTGTTCACAAAAATATTGAGCGTTTTTCATACAGTGGTAAAGAAACCTTTAAACGCTTTTTATTTGAACTCTGGATTTCTGCTCATAATGTTTTGGATAATTAGGGAGCCTTTTATGTCTCTGTGTTTGGGTTTCTGTCAGTCTGTGGCACTTGGGTGACCGGTGAAAGCAGTATCAGGTGAGGGAGTCAGGGAGAGAGAAAGGCAGCTCGTCGTCCATGTGGCAGTGTAAGCATAGCACGTTAGCCCTGATCCAGGAGGCCGATCTCTAACCCACGGCCCCAACTTCAGAGACATAGAGAGAGGCCCTATGAATACTGCATGATGAAGCTTTTATTACAGAGCGAGCTAGAGTGTAAATAAGATCCAGGCAATGGGGCACGTTTACTGGGGTCAGATCAGGGGGAAGTGGCAGGGGGTGGCTATGTAACCTTGTCCCCATGTCTCCTGCTGTCACAAGCCTGTCACTGTAACTCATACAGGGATGTTCGGCCCTGAGGCAGTCAAGGACAACCTCAGAATAAAGCTTCAGTGCAGTAGAGGTCCTATTGCATCTCCACCCCTAAAACATGCCCTGAACATGCATTTCTTTAAACTTGGAGATTAAGAAGCTAGTCACTGTTTCTTTTGTGGCCTCCTTTAGCTGCAGAAACCGCCATCAGATGTTTCCTATAGTTGAGATGTTTGTAACTTGAGACTTGCATGACGAGGAAATAACTTGCAGAGGACCGCTCTTCCTCCAAAACCATGCAAGTCCATCAATATTTCCAGACTTCATAGAACAGCTCTGTTATAGCTTGCTATGCATCATAATTGGCTGAGGTTAAGATCATTGTAGAATTTGTACTTCCTTTATTCCTGAAAAGCAGTGTTCAGTTTTTCAACATTCTTAGCCTCCTCAGTGAGAACAATAAGTTGTTTAGCACGGTGAAGACGTGGTTTAATCTCCTTTCAGGCTGCCACACTTACACAGCCTGCCCAGTCAGTATTTAACATGTCTACCCCTGCAATCTTGCCTCAATTAACATCTTTGTCTTAATTAAGAAGCAGCAGTCATGCTTAACTGATATTGATTGTAGCTTAAAGGAAGACCGAGACATCAAAATGAAAACAAGGCTATCAGCCTTCGTGTTCAAAGAGCTCTGGTCTAGAAAGATGACGCTTAAATTCTTAAACACTGTATCCGTCTTGAGGCAAAAAGAAATGACAGTGTGAAATCAGAAGAAGCTAATGGAAAAAATATTTAACAAAAAACAACAAAAAAATCTGGCCTTCTTGTTTTATCTGTAAAATTTGGCTCATGGCAGACCTTTGTCATGGGTCCTGACACAAATTGAAGTTGCAAGTAATTCAGAGGATTATTTAAGCAATACTGACTCTACTACCTGTAGATTCAAGGAGGGCATAGAAGCTGAGACCCTGTAGCTATCAGTGAATTTAATAAATTGTTTAATATGTGAGGTTACTGTTTCTTCTCTGGACACCTTGAAATAAATGACAATCACTTAAATGTCTGAAGTTTGTCTTTAATTAGGGGAAAAAGAGAAATGTGGCATGGCTGTAGTCAGAAAGCCAGAGCCAAAGTTAGCTCTAACTGTGGGTAAAAACCTGAAAGGCACTAATAGGTACCATTAATTAAAGGCCTGGGACAGTTTAGAGGTATCTGTCCGAAGAGAAATGCGATCCTCCAATCTTAGACACATTAATCACACCTTGTGCAATGCACATTCTCTCTGGATGACCCACAGACGGTTGAGTAGCCAGGTATCACATTTACTAAGCCTGTTTGTGAGCTAACCAGCCTGTGTGACGTACACTGAAGCCAGCTCATCCCCATCACCTGACAGCTGTTGGACAGTATTTGTCCTTGAGGATTGTATGTTGAGAGGTCACCGGTCCCGTAAACTAACCTTCAAGGGCTGTAACTAAAGCCGATGTTTGGCATTAAGGAGTTTGATAATTAAATCATTATGGGGCCAGGTCGGTGGCTGCTGCTTTACTTGCAACTCAAAACTCTGTCTGGAGCAACTAGACAGAGGCTGACTGCATCAGGTTTTGCGTGATGCTCTCTGACCTTGAAGCAGGATTTTGTCAGTCTGGTTTAGACTCTGCTCAAAAAGTCCGATGTGGATGATTTATAGTCAGTTCTGTTGGTCAATAAAACATTATTGAACTAACTGTAGCATTACTCGCATCATCACAGCTTGTGGTGGTTTTAATCAGATAGTGTTGCATGTTTTTCTTTCAGAACAGAGTCTAGAGCAACTTCATGTAATAGAAGTGTTAAAGGGAGTAAACTTTAATGGCAAAATATGAATTTATGAGCAAAGTATGGCCCTCACATTCACCAGATATGAACATCATTGAGACTCTATGAAAAATGCTGTAGAAGAATAAGAAGCTACTTTCAGCTGCTCCCTTATTCATAAGGGGTGAATATGGGACTATTTGTATGAGGCAGGTTTATTAAATACTGAGTAACGAGGGTGCTCAAACTTGTATAAATGCCATATTTCTTTCATTTTGTAAGTTTATTAAATAAAAAGTAACAACATATTACTGTCTGAGACTGCGTTCCCTTTTTTCAGTTTTGTTTTAACCTTATTGTCTTCTCTTTTGACCCATCCAGAGCGTACCACGTTCACGGCAAACGGGTTTTAGCTGTCAAGGTGAGAATTCCTTCCATTTACATGACGATCATAGTGCTTACTCTTTCATTTAGTCCGTCCCTTTGAAACATCAGCGGAATTTGTTGGTGTCGAGTTTATAATTTTGCTGCCCCTTTTGTCTCGCCCATGTCTGATTGCAGGTCATTCCCCTGGATATCACGGTGGAGTTACAGAAGCAAATCATGTCAGAATTAGAAATTCTCTACAAGGTTAGTTTTGAACGACTAATTCGCCTCCTGTTCTTCACCAAAACATTTTTTTCTCCACTGATGTCTGATGTCCTACCGCACCTACATTTTTAATTAATCATGAGTCTAACTAATGAAATGCCATTTATCACCTCTGGTCTTACTTACTAAGCCAGGGATCAGTGATACATGAATGAACAGGCACACAAATGTGTGTGTGATCTGAGAAAGAATATATACATAGTCTGTGTGTGTGTGTGTGTGTTTGTGTAATTAAATGATAAATGTAGTACTTCTTTCAGCAGTTAGACTTGCAATGGATGCTGCAGTGATGCTTTTGAATCATGGACTGAAATCTTAAAATCTGATCACAAAAAGCTTTTGTGCAGTTCATTCCTGATAATTTTTCTTTTTTTCTTTTCAAATTTATTTATTTTTATTTATTTATTTTTTTCGTAATCCTGAATAAATATTTTTGGCATGCTCTTATATGATCACATTTTCTGTGCTCTTAAATTGCAGTGTGATTCTCCCTACATCATCACTTTCTTCAGTGCCTTTTTTGTAGAGAACAGGATATCAATATGCACAGAATTTATGGACGGTGAGTTTCTTTGCGACTTAAGCAAGTAGCTTGTTTTTTTCCTTTGCTAGCTACAGTTGTATAAAAGAGACTTTGGGGAAAAGTCCTCTTTCTCTTTGCCGTGTACCCATTTACACTTCTGCAGATCAAGAGAATGTCTGATCGCTGTAAGCTGTTTAGCATGCCTGTGTGCTAAAAGCTACAAGGGCGTGATAAATCTCGACTTAAGTGCAGTTGTAGGTGTATTTGTGTGTGCCTTTACTGGTGTGAGATGGAGAACTGTGGGGTTTTTTTGTTTTTTGGGGGGAGGTGGGGGAAAGCTGTATATGTTTGTCAAAGTGTGTGTTAATGCAGTGATTTCCCTCGATTCACACATTTTCTAGCTTGTCAGCAGTCTGTATAACTTCTGAGTACTCTGTTAGTTCATGAAACATCATGAAATTTCTGGATGTATGTGTACAAATGTAAACCGGTTCACATATAGCAAACACTGAATGATGATTGGGTATAATTGTGTATAGTCGCTGTAATTTTGCAGAATACTTGGATGATATCCTCAGTATCACTTTATCTTAAATTAACTGGGTAGCGTTTTGATGATGTTATAAAAAAATGACTGATTAGACTTTTATTTGTATTATTACTACTACTACTATTATTATTACTTTTATTATTTCATTTTTATTTATTGATTATTTATGTATTTAAATTAGTTTTGTGTACTTTTTGCAGTGTATATGTAGGTCAGCATTGCTCTCTTGGCAATGATGTCAGTTCAGGATCTGTGGGCTAGATAAGTAATATAAAACCTGAATTAAGATGAAATGAGCATTTCTTATTTTGTTTTTAATCTGAATTGTGCAACATGTCTGTATTACTGTAACGCTCTAAATATACATACACACATACACTTATACATGCATACATTGACACTGACTAACCTGTGTCAATGGGAAATCTGTGTTGTGCAGGTGGCTCATTGGACGTCTACAAAAGAATTCCAGAGCACGTGCTTGGAAGGATTGCTGTGGCGGTAAGTGTTCATAAAGTATGCAGAGTTTCCCTGCTGTAAAGTTAAAACCTTTTTTTACTCCATATACCGAGCTCTAGCTGCGAGCACAACAGACCCCACCTACCTGCTATTCAAACTTTCTGTTTGCAAGAAATCAGCCAATCAGATAAAAGTTGGTTTAAAGGGATTTGGTGCAGCATTAAAAAAAAATTTTCAAATTGCGGATGAATAGAGGCTAAACAATTGTCTAATATAATATAAATATACAATCTTTTAAATAGTGTAATCAAAATTCAGGACTTTTTATTGCCCCTCTGTTAGCCTGGTTCTTCCAGAGGTTTCTACCTGTTAAAAGGGAGTTTTTCCTTCCTGCTGTTGCCAAGTGATTGCTCTGATTGCTGGGTTTTCTTTGTATTATTGTAGGGGTTTTATCGTAAAGTATAAAGTGCTTTGAAGTGACTGTTGTTGTTGTGATTTGGCACTACATGAATAAAACTGAACTGAAGCGAATTACAAAATTACAGTTATACTACCAATACTAAAGGAGTTATATATGTTGACATGTATAAAAAGTATAGCATCAACAAATTGTGTATATACATATCTAAGCATATATAATATGTTATGGCAAAGCCCTAGGGAGGCGGTTAATTTGTACTTCTTGTACTTTTTAAGATAGCGCTGTCGACCCTCTATAGCACATATGTTTCAAAGTTGTGGCCCAAATACAACAGTGGTCCCACTTCCTCCATGACAGTCTATAACAGCAGGAAACCCTTGGTTACTAATTTGTCAGCAGATATAGACTACTGACAAATTGTAGCATTTGCCTAGCTCTAGCTGCTTTCTACATCCCCATTCATATAACTGCTAAAAGGTTAAGATAAGCTTTATTATCATTGTAAGCACAAATAAACAACAAAATTGGAGGCACAGCTGATGTTGGTGTATACAGACAGACGAACATAAATAATCATACTTTTCAAATAAAAGAGTAATAAAAATATTCTCTGTACTATCATCAATAGAAATAATAAATAAATAGATAATAATGCTACGGATTGCAGCTTTAATAGCTCAGGTAGGCAGTCGAATAGATGGATATTATAGAGGTATTTTAACTATTGTATTTTGCACTTAAGGTAGATCTTGCATAGAGATCAAACATGAACTTGTTTGTGCATGCGTACCAGAGCATGAAACTTAAGTGATGTCACTCAGTATAATAAAATATTCATATTATTTTAATGCATTATTATGAAAAAATGTTTAAAAAATGGTTTTCTGACCACTGTTGATGTCTGGGATCATCGTCATTCATCAGGATTGGGTATTGATAACATTTTTATATCAATGCCAAATGAATAAATAATATAAAATCCTGCTTGTAAACATGAAACCATCGCTAAAAGCTTGGAGGCTTACCATTACAGTGAATTGGACATTTTGTAACTGTCTCTCAGTCCCACCTGGCTCTCGATTCCCTTTTCTAGTCGGTGGTTTTACCTCTTGAATTTAATTGCCCATGCGTGCGTGGCAGTCACAGTTTCAGTGTGACCTGTTATTTGTTTGCTGCAAACAGAACAGACCTGAGACAAAAACTCATTTAATGTATTAAAGAAATAAAGACAGGAGAACCACAGGTGTGAATTTTTCAATTAGCCCTTATTAGGTGAATGATGGACAAAGTGAGTGTTGTTTTCCTCGTACTCGCCCCGTGTCCGTTTCTCCCTCATGTTCTCCCCTCAGTTAAAACTCACATTTTGATCGTATTTGGCCTTGATGTTGATTAATGCATGCCTCTGTTCCACACTCATTACCCTTCTCCTGTCTCCACCTCCTCTTTTCTGTCTCTCTCCTTTAACTTTGTCCGTAATCAAACAATGACAGCTATTTAGTCAGTGTTAATTCTAATTCACAGCTTTCCTTCCTTTCCACTGTCACAGTTGTTAATTATCACAGAAGGAAAAGCACCCAAGAGGGTGCGAGTGGAGCTGCAGATGCCAGTTGTTGCGCTTGCACCACAACCTTTCAAAGCAGCAGGACTTCAGAGAGCTTTTGTGATTTCTTAATTTATCACAGAGGTTGTTTTGCACGAGTGCTGGATGACGGGAGCCTTGAAGCTAAAATCTGCTGTCACACCCCGTAAATGAAGAAACCACCACAAAGCAACATTACACGTTTGCAAATGACTTTAATACTTACTTCTTACTTTTCTAGGTGCCCTAAACTGCCTCCTTCCTAATTCTTCAGCTATTTTCTCTTTTCTCTAGAGAGAAAGTCAGCTTGTTCAGAAAGAGTTTCTTGTGTCTGTATTCACTTCTTGTTGGTTGCTTCTCCCTTTGTCACCAGAGACTTGTAGACATTTTACTCGAATGCACCTCATAATTTTAGCCAATTTGATGTCCATGTTTCCTCAAATGACTTCATAGCTTAACATTGTTGTTGGGATAGACTGTAGAACTTGCCTACAGTATTGTGTAGAAGTCTCCTCCCATTTCTCTGTGTATTGGGAAATAGCAGTTTATTGAGATGTGTGCAAGCATAAACTGGAGTTTGTAAAATTAGAAAGAGTTAAAAGTCAGTATTTTGTGTTAACACCTTTACTCTTAACCACAGCCTGAACTCTCCGAAACCTCTTTTCCACTTGCATCTACTCAGCTCGACTCTACTGGATTCTACTTGGTTTTTAGGGTTTTTCGTTTTTAAGTACAAAGTTGGCTGGGGTTGCAAGCGAGCCGAGTCTAGCCAAAAATGTGATATCAACGTGATAGTGACTCTGTCACAAGAAACAAGCCGAAGCAGAAATGGAGAAGTACTTTTGGGCAGCTCTGTTCCTCACAGTTTAATTATTTGACGAATTCTGTGAAAAGTGAAACCACGGCTCTCGTCCCATTCACTCATAGGAATGGACTGAGAGGACTCAATGAGCCTTTGAGCAACACGCTTTTAAGCCGTTTTACAGATCTAAAAGCCCATTAGACTAGGGAGACAGATATTTCACTGCCTTATTCACCTGCAGGTCTATAATTTAAATGCTCTGTTACTTAAATGTGGGAACTAATATTCACTGAAACAAGGCAGCAACTCCATACTTGTCTTTAAAATGATGTAATTCACAAGTTGTTTGGCTAATACCATCACGCCATACTACTCCTTGAGGTTAGTCTGGTACAAACGTGACAGATTGTGCAAGCTGGTCTTAGTTGAATCTCCTGTAATCACCACTTTATTATACAGCGACAGTTACTCTGAAGGAGTCCTTCCATCATGCCGCATGCTGAGATCCGGGAGCCTGTTCACCTGCTGCTAAATTTTGTTCTTTAAAATGTGTCACTTTATAACTGAACTCTTTCAAAACAGAGGTGGCGATAAACCTGAGTTAATGTGAAGTAGTTGTTATTCACCAGGGTGTGCTGGTTACACGCCTCATGCTGTCAGAATTGATAGTTGTTCTCTGCCACTTGTGTCTCTAGGTAGTCAAAGGCCTGACGTATCTGTGGAGCCTGAAGATACTTCACAGAGGTGAGTAAGGTAGTGCACGGCCTCCGTGTTATTAAAAAAGAGGAGGGTTGATAAAGACAAGCCACGGTGTGCTGATGTTGCAGTTCTATGAAGCAGTTTGTCTCCACAGATGTCAAGCCTTCCAATATGCTGGTGAACACCCGAGGACGAGTCAAGCTCTGTGACTTTGGTGTCAGCACACAGGTACACTGATTTGTTTGTGCGAGCATGAGTGAGAGAGGAAAAGAGAATGGGAGATAGAGGAGAGAAGAAAAAGAACAGTTGTCTGTGACTTCAAAAACCTCAGTCCTGTGCTCTCGGCGTGTCTGTGTGCGCGTGCATATGGTCAGCTTGTCAATCACCACATTCATTTTCCAACTCAAGACATCAGCGCTGTCCCAGGGGTCTTCCTCTCACATTAACCCCCCACCTCCATTGTTCTGCAGCCTCTCAGAAAAATCACTTGTTATAATTATGACCCACACACACAACGCCAAGCCTCATTGATATGTATTCAGTAGATTGGGGGAAAGCGTGGGTGACGGACAATGGAGTGCGTGTGTGCAAGTCTGTGTGTGCATCAGCGTGCGTTTTGTAGTGTAATCATCAGGGACAGACCTTCACCGCTCCCCAAAACATCAACCCGAGGTCTGCTTTTTTAACACACATCGCTTCTGTGGTAAATTGTTATTCATTTTTAACCTCCACTTCCTTGCTCAACTCCAAGGTGAATTTACACCCTCACTGACTTGTCTTTTTAACTATATTTTTCTGTTAAAGTCTTTTCCACTCATGTACATGCTTCCTCACTCTTTCATGCTCCAGAGGGCATGCTCAAAAAAAGGAGAAAAAAACAGCCTTAAGGGAACCGACACTCATTATCACAGTCCTGTCATTGATGGCATGTGCCATTGTGTCCACATGCACAAACTCACTAATGTCTCCTTGTCTCACTCCTGTTCCTTTGTGCGATGGTTTAGTGCAGCCCAAGATATCGACCTGACATGTCAGTAGGTTTACGTAAAGAAACTTAATCCCCCTTGTTTTTCTTTATTCCTTGACATGACCTTAGTTATATCAAGTTATTTATGCTGTGATCATTTTAATACTTTTTATCGTTTACTCACTTAAATGCTGTTCTATTTGCAGCTGGTGAATTCCATTGCCAAAACATACGTGGGAACTAATGCATACATGGCGGTGAGACACCACTTGAGTTTATTCTTGGAGACTTTTGAATTTGTTTTAACGCAGTTATACGTTGGTCTCTGACTTTGTTTTTACACTTGTTTGTTTTTGCTTCATAGCCGGAAAGGATATCAGGAGAACAGTATGGGATCCATGCAGATGTCTGGAGTGCGGGCATCTCTTTCATGGAGGTATAACAGTTTTTAAGTGACTTTATGATACACTTAACTGTTACATGAGCGGTCCATTTAATGGCAGGTTTAGCTGCAGTGTAATTAAAACGTAATGGGTGGTATCGCATGTGTTAAGTCTTGTCTGTTGCTCATTGTGTGTGGAGGTTTATCAGTGTCACTGTTCTTCTCTCCACATAGCATCGATAAAGTGCTTAACTGACAGTGTGTGTTCAAATAACATTTTAATTTCAGCATCCACCTCCCCGGTCTTTTGTCCTCCTGCTGACATTATTGATTCTCCATCTGTTTCTGTCTCCAGCTCTCCTTCAGCACTATAATAAACGATTGTGGCTTCTGCCTCACCTTTGTTGGTCAATAAATTTGATATCATTACAATTATAACTATAATGGAGTTTGCAGTGATGTCAAACTTATTGACGTAAGTTTGCGTGATTAAGACATATAGTCGTCTTATAAGAGTCTGGTCTCTTTGTTTCTAGCTGTGGACGTGCACATTAAGCCAAATGAATTGGGTTGCAGTCCTGCTCCCATCTTTACTAGTTAGTCTGTTTATGTTGAAGGAAAGGGCTGAGCATTTTGACAATTTAATAAAGTAATGTTGCCAATAAGCTGCCCTTGACCAAGATGAAAAATGTCCACCCCCAAGTGAATTGCAAAATGTCAGGGAGAGCTGACACCCAACACCCCAGTGAAAACAACACACACACATATTATACACAACTGCCCTCCAATGGTGTCCCCCTTCTCTTTATCCCTCTATTCTGTTCTCTGCAGGTGGTAATTGTGCGTGTGGGGGGGTTATTAACTAATGGCTGATGTTGTTTGATGAGGAAGTGTTATCAGCAGGTGGGCACTAAGCTTACCTCAAAGACTGAAAGTCTCAAGTTCTGCACGCTCGAGTAGCTTCAGCTGCATTTTGCTTCCTTGTCTACACTTGAGATTTTATGCTATTAAGACACTGCTGATGGCAAGGTGTTTGTACAGTAACACATAATGATGGATACCCTATCATTGCCCTTTACAGTCTATCTGAATGCAGTCCTGTGGTCATACAGGAAGTTTTACCTTTGTGAGGTTTCATTTGTCAGAAAAAGTATTGCTGTGTGTTTTCGGTTGCATTTTAATCTGAGACTCTCACGCAGGACTTCTTAGATGGCTGGATAAAACTAAATTTGTTTATTGTCAGATATACTTGAGAATTAATTGTTATCATCTTGTCTATACAGCTGGCGCTTGGCATGTTCCCGTATCCACAGGTAAGGGCTTTTTTTTTAATGGATTATGGCACTGATGAATAAATGCTGGGAGTTTTGATCTGCTTCAAATGATTTTTCTGGAAGGAGTTCCTGTTGGATGTTTATTCTTGTAATAGTTTTCTTGATAGATAACAGTTTCTCGTCTTGAAATAATTTAGTATGTTAAGACAAAATAAGAAACAAAGAAAAATTGCAAACAACCTGAAGACCGCTCAGCACTGTGCTGATTAGACTTTTTGTTGGCCAGCTTCTCCCACCCAATTCTAAACTGCTGGATAATTTTCTCTTTATTTTTTTAATTGTAGTTTTCTATTTATAGGAGAAAACTGGAATCATAACCCCCGGAAACTGATTTCCTCTTGTTATCAATTCATCTAGATCAGTTTTTGATTTACAGTTTCAAGTGTATGAACTGCTTTTTGGGCTTATTTTTTTTCCCCCCATTACACTAAGTTAAAATCCTGCTCAAATGTAATTGCTACAGAAGTGGCTTCCCAATCCCATCAAGTCTTAATTAGCCCTTTTAAGATGGGTTTATCTCACTAATCCCTAGCTGAGCAATCTCAATCTGGTTACCTCAGGTTACCTCCTGGCTGTCCACCTTTACAAAATTTGAAGGGGCAGGTCTTATTTAGGAAAATTTGTTTCTGAAGTTAGACTGATTGTGTGAGAGTATTAGTTATTTATAGATGAGCTGGGATTTTCCATTCCTGCCCGTCAGTGCATTTGACAAAAAGTCTTACACGGTGAATCAGTTATTTTATTTTTTTAATGGTTTGTTGTGTGCAACAGTTGGACTGCTCTGTTAGTCAAAATGCGCTTGAAAATAAGTGATTTAAAAGGCAGACTGTTTGGTAACTGCTGCACCATCTGCCCATGGATTGGCGAGTTACTGATTATTTTCAGGAACGCCAGTTATCCTTCCCGAGGAGAGCAGACATTCAATAAATGAAAGAGCCGGACAGCTTTTATAAGGCTTAAAAATCTCACGATGTATACATGAAAATGTGCTCTTGTATGCCATTGGTCTTTTGGCTGATAATGTCCATTGCCTCTGTTTAATGATGTTCTCCAGTAAAAGCCATTTCTCATGTGTTTTGACAGGAATTTATTCAGCACCTCTTTTTGTGCTTTCACAGTAAACATCTGTCTGCGAGACTGATTAGAGTCGCGATGTAGCTCTTGACTTGTTTTCAGCGTCGATCGTTAATTCTTAAGTACGATGAAAAGCAAGTGCAGGTCTTTGTGCAGGAAAGCAAAGGTGTAGATCGTGTAGTAACGTAAATGTCATACAGTGATCGATCTGTGCGCCTGTAGCCTTGGGTGTGTCTGATTTGCGCGCTCTCCTCTCTTCATTTGATTCCGTCATTATCATGTTAATCGCTAATGTACGAGAGGCACTTTAGTCCTCCCTCGTTGATATAAAAGGGGTGGACAAAATAGAAACACCTCTCTGTTTTTGGTAAGGCTCTCTACCATCACGCAGCTTTCCTCATCTCGGTGTTAATTTTCCCCTAACTCCATATGGCACTGCAGACAGTTCACCTGCAGGCTGTAGCAGAGCAGTGTGGCGAGAGCGCTCGGATCCAGCTCGTCAGGCGCAGCCTGCCAAAGTCCTCGGGCCTAAGCTGTCATTTTTGCAGACGCTGGCACAGCTGTCTGTGCAAAACCCCCTGCTACACTTCACAGAGAACATTTTAGCACAGGCTCAGAAAGAAGTTGTAGAAGATTAAAAGAGGGAGGAAAAATTAGAAGAAAATCTGTGGCGTCTGAATTTTTACTTAGTGAAAAATGCTGGATGACTTATTAAAGCGGTGTGGCGTTTAGATTTCACCCTTTGAAGGAAGTAAAGGAAGGGAGCGTGTGCGCGTTCCACTTGCTTTTATTTGTCGGACGTTGTTTAGTTAATGGATTATCCTCCATTCATTGTTGTGTGAGTGTGTATGCATGCACAGTGGAGTCATCACCTCATGTTTGTCATGATTAGAGATTGTCTCTTTAATTCCACTTCACCACATGTCGGGATTCATTTGCATTCTTTGTCAGGAGTTAATGGAGTTTTGCACGGCTCGCTCTGAAAGTCTTTGAAGACACCAGACCTGATGTGATGTGTATACAGCCGCCAGCAGTATTGTATCTGATTGATTTGTTGTCTTTTTTGCTTGCTTTATGCTTGCTTTTGTTTCTCTTCATTTTGTCATGTTTTTTTTTCTCCCCCCCCTCAAATTTGAATGGATTTGTGGATGAAATGCCGTGTCAATCTTTAGTGTGTCTGTTTCAGGAACTTTCATTACACGTCAGCGCATCCATCAGAGAATATAGATGCTTTCCTTTTGTTGCTTTGTTTTTTCACTCTGAAATGAAACGGAGAGGAAATGGTATCTGTTCCCACAGTGTAGTGTGTGTTGTAAACAATGTTTGCTGTAATTTTTTAGCTCGCTACAACAAATCCAAACTGCTTCATGCTTTGTTCGATCACGTGTCCTCCGTCAGCAAGCTAGTTAACATTTTGTTTCAATAGATAAGTAATCAATATGTGAAGTCTTAACATATTATAGGGCCTTTTGTTTATTGCAGTGCTAATTATTGTCGCTTGCACATTTTTGGATGTTTCGCTTACAACTCATTTTGGCTCATCTGTGCAGCCGAAAACTGATTTTAATGATCTGTTGTCTTGACTTGATAGCACTTCCTTTAATCAATCACGTTGCAAATCTAAATTTAACACTTAGAGAATCTAATTTGAGCAGTATTCCTGTGGCTAAGGATGAAAGGCTGGCAGCTGAAGGAGAACAGAGATGAGCTGCTTTCATTGCATGATGTTTCATAGCCTTCATTTTCAGGGAAACGCATCTCAAGCTAATGCAACAGCATGCTTGTTGTTGACCTAACAGCTACGAAAACAGAGGTGCGGACCTCTCATTTTATATATATAGATATATAGATATAGATATAGATATAGATAGATAGATAGATAGATAGATAGATAGATAGATAAGCATATCTTCATTTGGGCCCTTAATCATAATGAAAACATGCCTGTCAGTTTTTGAAAGTGATGTATTTTTTTCTTTTATTATCTATCTAAAAGAGAGTTTTTTAGATTCATTACCCTTGAAGAAATGTCTTCTTTCAAGAGGGGAAAAGCCATCTGATCTTTTAGACGTGTTTATTGAGCGGCTCTTGAAAGGGACAGAAATCATTTGACATCTAAAAATTGATTTTGTGACTTCTTATTTTCATGCTGAGCAGACTGTGATGGTTTGAAGTAATGAGAGAAGCTCAAAAACTTGAGTGGGCTCTCCACCTCAAAGACGCGAGAAGCTGGTGTTTATTTCCTACACAGCTACATTTGCATACACACACACAGAGACAGCTTTATACACTCACGTACACAATACAGGTGTTTGTTCATAGCTAACATACAAATAAAAGTCTGAGTCCATCTATTTTCTTCTGTTTATCTAGTTCAGGGCCATGGGGTGGCTGGAGTCTATCCCAGCTGTCATTGGGTAAAAGGTGGGGTACACCCCAGGCAGGTCACTGGTCTGTGTCACGCTGCTTACCAAGAGAGTTTATTTCTGTGCACACTTAAGCAAACATGCATTTTTTTTATGCCTTTGGGATCTAGCTTTTTGATTATTCTTTTTATGGGTTCTATTTTATCTTTTTATTATTATTTTTATTTTTAGGGCGGGATACATCTACAGTCTTCAGCACACGTCCAGTCTCGTATTAATTCACTATGAGTCACCGGCACAGAGATTCATTTACATCTTCCGCTAGTAGTTTAGTCAGATTGTGTTTATGACTTAGGAGAAGATTCGACTCATTTCATGATGAAATTCATTGAGAAATGCGGCCCATCCAAAGGTTCACTTCATGGGGAATAACAGGGAGGTATTTTAAAATAAAAAATCTTTTTTTTGATGTGTGGTCAAGCCACACAGTACAAGAGGAACACGCACTCATTTAAGCTTGAATAAGTTGGTCTCCCACTATCCAATTCCAACTCCTGGAGCAGCACGCAATTTTGTTCTAGTAATTATTTCTGAACAAATTAGTTTTCCATAGTTGCCTTTAATGTGTCTGAATCAGGCAAAACTGGATATAGAGGCAGTTTAGGAGTCTCTTGGTATTTACAGAGTGTAAAAACCTGTATTTAATCGAGTGGATCAATAAGTGCTCTAATGCACTGTCAGAAGGCCTGGAGAAATGAGCAATTTATTCACCAAACATTGTTAGACATTTAGCTGAGCCTAGTTTTTGAGCCTTGTATCATTTAGTCTATGTGATGAAGTTATAAATTTCGATCTTTAGAAATAAAAGCATGGGTTTCCTCATGAATTCAGCCTCGGGGGGTGTTTAAATAAAAAAACGAAATCCTGTCTAGAGTTTTGTTACTGCAGTGTCGTACATTTTAAGACGAAGGCTTTTATTTTTAAGAAAAGTTTCTTTATTTTTGATTCCAATCAAATGAGGTGGCGTGTTAGTAAGTCAAAAAATTGGATTTGTGTTTTTTTCCTCCTTTTCAAGATCCGCCTTGTTGTTGTCATCGTGTGTTTAGCTCGTTCGGTGTCGGAGTGTCACCTGGGAAACCGCCACAGCGAGCACGCTCTTCTAAAACCTCAACACTGTTTGCGACAGTCACTTTGCATCCCAGCACATCTCGATCACCTGGAGGGCAGGAATGAAGTGCAGCTCTGAAAATTAGCATTAGTGGATCTTTTACCCCCATTCTCCTCAAATGAGAGCGAGGCCATTAACATTTGTGTGTTTTCATTATGTAAATGGTGTTAACACATACTCACAAATTGCCAACAGGAAAGCAATAATTTTCTCCCAGTGATCATAATGTGTCCAAGTGCATCGTCTTGATTATGACACGCTAATTACATATTGCCTGGTCTCTCTCTCTCTCCCTCTCTCACCCTACAGATTCAGAAAAACCAAGGATCTTTAATGGTAAGTTTTATTGCAGTGGAATAAGAAGCTAGAGGTCTACAACTCTGAAGTCTGTTACTCTTGGTTGACTCTCTCATTTGAAATAATAATAAAAAAAAGCCCATCAAATTCCATTTTTGCAGAAAAATATTGGATCATGCTTAAACTGCTAGTATTACATTAGGTGCCATTATGGAATAATAAAAACATTCAGAAGCTGAATGGTGGCTTTGCCTGAGCTCACTGAATTTGATTAATCTAGGTAGATACTTTTTTTTTAATATCACACTATTGATTTTCTCCATTGCCAAGAAATTCCATGTAAGCTAACATGTTTTTTTCTCCCTGTGCTTCTCCTTTTCCAGCCTCTCCAGTTACTGCAATGCATTGTTGATGAGGTGAGTCGTCGTCTTATGTGCTTTTGCATCTAAAGTCAGCCCTAATGGCCCGGAAAGCTTATATTTTGTTTCCTAATGAAGCAAACCACTCAGGCGGCTTTGCTCCCCATTCACTCAACCCTTCACCCTACGCGACTGCCTCAGGCAATACACATATGCACATGCACATTACTGTAGAGGTTGGACCTGTCATGAGTAACACGTACACACAAAGCGCAGCTCTCAATTCTGTGTACTAGTGTATGCAAAAATGTGTTTAACCAGGCTTTCTCTCCTTACTGCACTGGGTTTTATTATTGTGTCTTAAAAAAAAAAGCCAGAGAAGACTCACAGGAGCATCAAACCAAAGACTCACAGGACTGATAATGATGCGCGCACACTGCAGACCACAGCGACTGATTAGCCATCCAATAAAGTTTTATTTAATTTTGTAATTTGCGTAGAAGCAAAAGGATGTCAAAGTTGAAAAAGACATAATAATGACTTTATAAGAATTTATTTAAGCCAACGGATCAATCTCCTCAGTGACAGCGTTCAGGTACCCGTTCTCATCTAATTTCTTTATGCTCTAAGACTTTCCATTTTTTAATACAAAATGCAAGCTTGGACAAAATATCATAGTGAAACCAAACCTTGTTCAAGTCAATCTTGAACAGTTTCTTGATACATTGAGATGCTGCTGTGCACAAAAATATGCATTATATAGAAGCTCACTCTGTGTGCATTTACATCATAAGCAGGAATAATAATCTCCCCTCCCCTCTTCTTCTTTTAAGCTGGCTTCTTTGCTGAACAGTCAAAATGGCTACACAGCATAAAGCATTCCTGCAATGCCCCCATCACCAGCTATATCGCACATTAAACATACAATGTCACTTGTCCTTAACTGCCTATAGATTGGCCGTAATTAATAATTAAATGCTTTCGGTTGTAATGGATTGACCTGGGCTGAACTGTTCATTAGTCAGCTAGACGTAGCCATCACTCAAACTATTTTTCTGTGCCCTTTCTCGTCTCCCCCTTGAGGCAAGAGAGCTCTCATTGTTGTCCGTGCCGTACCGTCCCAGCTAGTGCAATGCTTTGGAGGAAGAGACAAGAGGATAACCTCTCTGGACAGTTGACGCTGCATAGATGAAATCTATCTGTTCCCACTTACGCCCGATTTAGACTTGTGCATTGAGTCTCGGCAGAGCCGATGACATAAGCTACATAACGTGGCTGACATTGTTGCCAGCGTTTATGGCTGTATGTGGTGCATTATGTGTTAATTATGTGTTTTACATGCAGTGCCAGCCGATAGAAACAAATGAAATGCCTCGACTTTCTTCCCTCCGGGGTCCTCGCTCTTTGTTGTTTTCTTTTTTCTTTTTTTTCCAAAGGAAAACACATTTATGCATCAAGTTTGTATCATTATTGTTTCTTATATTGAGGCAATGATTGTAATTCTCTCCCTGTCCTGTTCAAAAACTGCCAAAAAACTCACCAGAAATGAACAGGGGGAGGACTCAACGGTTGTGAACAGGCCAGGTGCACATCAGGTTACACTGTAGGTTACGTTGTAGAGTTTTAGAGCTATTCGCGGTTACGGTTTACCTACAGTGTAGATCTCCCACTGAAGCATAAATTCCCACTTGGATGTTCAGAGTCTGGCACAACTTGTATGAACCCTTTTTTATTTTTGTTTAAACCCAAATAACTGGGCTGGGACACGTCACATGGAGCAGCTACTCTAATACAAAGGTATTTTTAATTAGTTTAGACACACCTGACTCAACACTATGGCAGGTGTGATAAATTACACCTGACTCCCTGGCATTTTGTAAATATTGCTCATTACTATATTCTGTACTGTACATGTGAACCTTTTTTGGATATTGTATGTGACTTAACCCACTGGGAAATTGAAAGTTGCTTTATTGGCTGAATGAATGTGCTCTTGTGAGTGGAGCTTTTAATATTAGGTACAAATGTGTGTGGTTTGGCTTCCATTTCTTTCATTTTGAACCTAAATTGAGGTATGCCCTCAACATATGGGCCAAATACACAAATGATCAAAATTCAAATTGCTGATTACCGCTGATTCTGTAGTGTGGTGGTTTACACATTTATCCAACACACAAAAGATTTGCTCCCCAGGAGGAGATGCAAATCTCCGAGAAGGTTGCGTGAGGAAGTAGCATGCGGTATAAACATTTTCCAGATCATAAATCTGCTGTCTGAATAAGGGAGCAGCTGAAAGAAGGATTTACTTACACAGAATAGTAGAGGTAGTAAGAACTGTGGTTTCAGCTCAAGTAAAGGAGTTTATTTAGACAAGAAAATGGTTTTGACATTCATGAACAAAGAACATGTAGTCGTTGTTGACAGCTTACACAGTTAATTTACCAGCATTTGACTTTCCTAACATAACATTACATCACCTCCACTTTATCTTGATTTTATTTATAAGGTTGTTTTAATGCTTTAAAAAAAAATAGGTTGATTTTGGTCAATATTTGGAAAACGCCAAAATTTTCCATAACCCAACAGCTATAAAACACTCGAGGCTGAATCTCATTAGTAACACACTGAATAGCTCTTTCTAAGGACTCTTAGTGTTCACTCTCAAAATGACACATTTGTATGTAAGACACTTAAAGGGGCATTTGCACTTCTGCACTGAATCTATGCTGCATTCATGCCATAAATACAAACCTTTCCGATCATCAGCAAAAGTATAAATACCAGTATAAGTAAATTATAAAATTGGGTATAATTCATATTGATCCTGAAGAGTGGTTCTACGTGTATACTGCTCAAAGAGGAATCAAGGGAACACTTGAAAAATCTTAACTTTGATGTTTGATCTGATTTCTGAATCCAGCCCTCAGAGCTGTGATGATTTTGTTTTCCACTGATGTTTCATCACTTCATGCTGATCGGATTGCACAATGCATGTCAGTAAAGATATTCAACTAGAACATGTGTTTTAAGTGTTCCCTTAATTTTTATTTTAGCATGCCAGTCCTCCACTTAAATGCATCGTACTTGCATCTTTGGAAATCCTTGTTATGAGTGCATGCTAGAGAAACAGCATGCTCACCCTGCTCAGGCAGGGTCTTGAATTAGAAGTTCTCTGCAGTTGTTTCCACCATCTGTAAGCTGTCCTCCCTCATTAATGCGCCTCTCTCCTCTGTTTGTTGAATAGCAAGTGGCTCCACTAATAAAGAACTCCCACTTTATTTTCAAGCCTGTAATTACTGATCTAATTTTGCCTAATAATTGCTTCATGGCAATGACATGTATATTTACTTGTACCCTTGTACCCTCGTAGTGTGTGTTCTGTCTCCTAGTGGTGCACATTGACAACCAGAGGACTAATTCACGCAGACTAGCCACTTTCATCAGCCTGCCTGTCTTTTGTGCCATCGCCTGCTGCCACATCAAAGCTGCAGCAGTGTTCCTCTCAGGTGGAAACATGAATACATGCATAAATGTGCATGTTTATATCTGCATGCAGATTTGTTTGAAAAGTGCAGACAGGAATTTTGCATCAGATTTAGCCTACATGACACATACATTAGTTGTATAGTCAAGACTTTATGTGTGCGGTGCACCTAATTGATTGTTGCTTTGTGTTTGTGTGTACACCAAAATATAGCGATAGCAAATTATTTGGTGCTCTGTCTCTGTAAACGGTGTATACTAACGTTTGTGGGTTTTCGTGCTCAAGGGCATTTGTTTGTGCACGTGTGTTTTTGTGTGTGCGCTATGATATATTGCTCATCCAAGCAGCGGCAGAACTGTGAAGTGCACTGAGATTAGAAGGAATCCATTCCTTTGTTAATTTAAATGGGTTCATGCATCATGCTTTGCGGGAGCCTGCCGATCAGAGCATTAAGGAATGGCGAACACTGCCCAGAGGTGTTTTTAATGGCACAGCAGGGTCTCGGATGTAAAGAGGTTTAATTCTTTGCATTTGAATGAATGCGTGCACTTGAACCTGGGCTGTATGAGTTTTGTGCATATCTGAGTAGTTGATTTATTTCATTTTTTAAGACCTCTTTGCATCATCTCTGTATGACGCCGCACTACATGTTTTTAAAACTTGACCTACACCTGCGGCATCTACCGATCTTATTATATCCAAGCACAACACATTTTGTGTATGTAAAATTTTAGAGTTACAGATAACAGCATCTTCCAAATGTATATACAACAACTGCTTGCTGGTATTGTTGGAAACAAAGTAAATACAGATGTTAATTTAGTAAGGTTGCTGCTGTAAAGTGGTTTAGACTTTACTAAAGTATTTCATGTGTAAAAATAATAATATACTGTGTTGGGAGGTTTTCGTGCCAGCAGCCAAAGGCAGGGATAAAGCAAGAGTGGGAAAGTGGATGGAGTAATGAGGTGAAGGGCTGTAATGGAGGGTCAGTCGGGCACAGCTGTTCTACATGACACGGTTCATAGAACTTCGATTGACAACAGGCAGCGGGCCTGACACACTCAGACACACACACACAGAGGGATACACACTTAGATGGCTTCAAAGTTTTTGACACCCTGTAACATTAACATAACGTTAACTCGATCTTAAATGCATCCTTATACTAATCCTAAAGCATGTCTTTGCTTTCGTTATTGATTATCTCAGTGTAGGTAAAAGATTCATAGGAAATGATATGTTTGAAAAATGGGTAAATAAAGCTCAGACTCTTTATTAAAGACTAATGTAGCCACCTTACGTGACCTATTGGTTTGTTAAGTTTTGTTTTGTAGCCTTAGGCTTAGCATTTTTCTCACCACTGTGTTGCTTTTTTTCAAGCTTGATCGGGTTTAGTTAGGAAACTGCATCTATCGGCTGCAATGCACAAACACACATATTTGCTAATTATTCGTGCACTACTAGTTTCACCTCCGAAACCCACACAGCAAGCCATAATATTTCCCAGATAGCACCATTAAAATACTCCCAAGTAACGAAAAACGCCACACGCACCTTGAAGAGGCTTCATCTCTGCTGACTTTGCGTCATCATCCACCTGTCAGTGAAAGTGGTGTTCTCCTAACTTTAGTCCTTGATCAAACATGTGAGTTATTGAGAAAAAAGAAATCACCACTATACAGTTGTGATGAAGAGGTAACTTGGCTATAGAGACCAGGCTGCTTTAAAGACGACTGTTTTATCAGCCTGTGTGGACTGATTCAGTTTTGTAACAGCTGCAGTTTAGGACACTTATGTGTTGGTTCCATTTTCCAGCCTTGGAGCTTACTGCTTTCAAAGGTGTGTTTAATATCTAAGAATTAAATTAAAAGGGATGTCAAAACATCAAAAGAAGTTTTAGAAAATGTTTGAAGTTAAAAGTTTCAAAGATGTTAGATGACATGAGTAATAACCAGAGTGGGTTTTTTTTTTTTTATTAAATAGCAATAATAACACTTCCCAGGTCTATACTTCAAAATCCACATTGATATTTTGTATTTAAGAACAAAGTAAAATGAGTTCAGGGACTACTTGGCCACTTTTTTTCTATTTGTCTTTATTTTAGCTTCTTATTTATCTTTTAAGTTACATATTTCCCTGGAACAAAAACCTGCAATGATAAAAGTGAGGTGAACTGCACAAAAGATTTGTGTACACTTTCTCTAAAGTAAAGGAGTGCAAAAAACCACAATGTCAAAAATACTGAATAATCTTTCAGATATTTCTCCTACATAAATTGAATGCTACAAATGTAACATTCATCCTGGTAGCTTCAAAGAGCTTCGTTACCATAACATCTTTGTGTCTGTGTGCACCTTTAGATATCTGCTAATATAATAAAATATAATAACATTTTTGTATTCTATCAGCACCGTAACACACTCCTTTTACTCTTATACTTTAAAGTGGGTTTAAATAGTCCATTTTTCCCCACCAGGCTGACTTTAAACATACTGTGTGCCAGCAGGTACCTCCACAGCTGTTCACCTGGCAGGCACAAGGAAAATAAAAATTAGAAAAAGTTTTTGCTTTGCATCATTTGGTTGTTTTAGTAACCATCAAACAGAATTTCTGTCCTGTTAAGAGCACTCGTTTTCAAAGGTGACTCTTAATTAGTTGTGTGCGTTGTGCTGAGGGCTCCACACCAAATATACAGCTGTTTCCTTTAAAGGTTTTTCCCTTTGGTCTGATGATCTTTTCATTGACATCCAAATCTTGTCTTATTCCACCTCTTTCTGTGCTGGACTGCTTACAATTAAAGAACATGATCCAGGGATGTTGGCATCTAATAAGCACTCCCTGCATCGACACCTGACCATGTGCCTGCCAATCACAGCTGGTCCTTGCACTGTGCAGCTTAAAGTTTCCCAGACTAGTCTGGATGAGTAACATTGCATTAAACACAGATGTACAACTACTTTCAGATGTTTGGCCCAGCAGAAGAGCTTGTCCCTCAAAGCAGAAAAAGGGCCAATTTACTGGACAAGAGACGCGTTATCCTCTCAAAACCTGCAGTAAATGCAACGAGCCACAGGAGAAATGAAGCGGCATCAAGTGTCACCTCCATCATGCAGGCGCAGTGAATGGCGTGAAAGATTTTATATTTTGCTTCTAGGAGATGCACTTAGGTGAAAAATATCTGGCAGACCTTATTCATGTATATGAATGCAGCAGTGCCATGTGGATTTAATTTTTAATTACTTTTTGGAAATAGTTTTTTTAATTAGATCTTTTATTTTCTGTTGAAGAGAAGCCCTGAGTTTAGGTTCATGAATAGGATCTGATTTGTTTTGAAAGCAGTGTTCTGTTAACATGAATCTGCACGAAAACATTTTTGGTACTAAAATCAGTGAATAATGATGACAAACAATCTCAATAATCTTGTAGTCCTAAGTATGATGACTTGATCTCATTCAGCTAGAGCAGCGGTGCCCAACCCCCGGGCCACGGACCCATTTGGTTCCGGGCCGCAAGAGTTGAGGCTCGGGTGTGAAATTTATTGTTTTTACGGTTTTTTACTGTTACTTTTTAACGTTTTTACCGTTAACTCGGTCTCCCTGGGTCTTTTCCCGTGTGTTATGAATAAATCTTCTTTTTTTTTGGTACCGGTACAGGTTTTATTTTGTTGTATTTATCCGCGACACCTTCAGGTAATAAAATATTGCCGGACATACACCGGTCCATGCCACAAAAAAGGTTGGGGACCGCTGAGCTCGAGCATCTTTGAGACGAAAGCGTGTGGAAACCTTTTTCTAGCAGCACCAGCACTTTCGCCCACGTGGCAGATTTAGTGTTATATAGGCTATATGCTATATATGCCGGACACGGTCAAATTATTTCTTTTTTTTCTCTGTGTTGTGTGTTTTTGTTCTGGTAGACAAAACATTTCTGCTAAAACCTTAGACCGTAACTAGTCCCCTCGCCAGAATTTCAGGAGAGAAATAGAAAAAAAAAATCCAATCTTATTTCTAAACTCAGACTGCAAGCATTAAGTGTGTGAATATTTTCTGCGTCACACATTGTTAGAGAATAACAATAGCACAATAAAATCAAGGTTGATCTCTGTGTCAGCAGTGCTTTTCAAAAAATGGGGCACGTCATCAAAGTGTAAAATATGTGTTGAGTTGAACCAAAGTTCAGTTTCCTGACGCTATTGTATAGAGTTTTTATTTAAGTTCAATTCAACTTGGATTGTCTTTTAACGTCACAAATGTTTAAAACATTGTGAAGTGTAGGGCACGAACCTTCTGAGGTCGGGGGCTTGCCAGTAAAAGTTTGGTAATAAATACAGAGCAGTGTGACATCATCACCCCGAGTTTGATTACTGTTTTTTACATATTTCAAAAATGAAAAAAATAACCTCACAAAACAAAACTTTAATCTAGCCAATGTTTCTGTGGGTACGTGTCGTCACTTGGTTGATGTGTAATCGCCAGTCATAACACAAGTCACATTTCAGGA